TGTATTCTTGGGTCAGCTGGAGAAGTCTGCTTGATTACAGCTGTAGGTATATACAGCACTTCTAATGCCCATAAGGGCGAGAAGACCTAGGCCTCACCTCAGGTTTCAGCAGAGGTGCGAAACAGATCACCCGGCTACATAGCAAGCACTCAATAGCCTCAGGCAATCCAGTGCATAAAAACTATTTTAAGGATTTTCTTCTACATGTTTGGAACCATAGTCTTTTGTTCGCATGCATTCATAAAATACTATAACTTTTTCTCATTTGTTATAATGAAACAAGAACGATTAGCTGGCACGTTTCAACTTAGTGGCTATGCTGGCCTGTAGATGAGATGTGTGAAAACTGAATGTTTCCTGACCTCCGTTAATATTTTCCATGTATAGTTATCCTACAGCAATTACTCTCCTAAAATAGCATGACACAAACTTTTTTGTTATTGTTGCAAATTGAAAATGAATGTTGGCCAAAGCTTGCCATTCTTAAAGAAATCTCAGACTGAATAGCTGATTACCCTGCATAAATCTTGGAAGTACTGGGTTACCCATTTTTAGGAAAAGCAAGAGATTTTTCATTTTATGAGAATTAACACAAAGAGGGAGGCCCAATGAAGTAACTACATCTCATATTTCTTTGCTATAAGCCAGTACCATTCAAAGGGGGGGGAATCCATTTAAGGTTGTGCCCAAATTCTTTGTATTTCCAGTATCGCCAGCTCAACGCTAGAGGCCTTCATTATTTTTTAAGATGATAAAAACTCCCAGCATAGTTCACAGATACACAGTAAGGCATTGCTCATTAAGGCCTAATCATAAAGAGCAGGTCTGACTTACATCACAGCTGGAATATACATCAATAGTAAAACCTCAAAATTCCAGGATATGACAAATGGCATCAATGAGATGAAATTAAGATTAGCGTAGTCTTAGGTCTAGACCCTTGATGAACCCTTTTGCCGTACGCCGTATCATTACAAAAGTACGAGGACTGTAGTACTGTCAAGATGTATGCTGTATCAAGTGTGATACTTCCAGTTAACGAACGGTTTTCATCAGAACTATAACATTAATTATGGTTGCAATTCAGTACATCAGGAAGCATTCATCTTTCACTAATGCCACATACGTCCAGGACACTATTAAATGGGTTTACTGGTGAGAAGTAGGCACCAAGTCCCAAAACGGTTGTACTTTTTGAATACCTCTGACCAATAGGAAAGAAGAAATACAGCCTTGTAGTTTGTGACCAAACATTTGTTATAAGCTCCTTCTTAGCTTATATTGTATTTTTAGTATCTATAATGCAAATTTTTGAGTCTCTTGCATATTTGTACATCACTAAAATGACAGTTAATACTTAGCACTAGTCCGCAACAGATAAGAAAGCAAAATCTGTGCCCCAAAACACTTAAAATCAAAGATAAAAGTTAGCAAAGAGAAGCGTAGCCTTGTCAAGATGAAGCTGGACAACACTTTAATAGTGTGCATTCAAGTAGTCTGCAAGTCAATGACTCTGCAGGCTTAGGCTTTCAAAACAGATTTCAAGGTAAAGAAAAATAGTACACTGTTGGAAAGCTCAGGACACACCAGCTTCTGAGGAATCATAGCATATACATAGGAATAGAGATCATTAGGCATGAAGTTGGCTAATTGATTGTAGAGGTCTGTATTTATGGGCGAAGCGCAGGCAGGAACAACTGCTAATATGAGATGAGACACAGGTGGCATATAAGGAGAGAAGAGGTATTTAAAAATTTTAGTATTTGGATAACACGCATAAATTCGACAGACTCAAAGGAAGTTGAAACAAAAATTTGACGTGGTTAAAGTTACAGTGAACAGTGAATTACGCAGAATGTTATGCAAGACCTGAGGTAGCTTGAAAAGCCTACTATTGAGTAATTGAACAAATATCTGAACTCTCCCCCGGGGTAATGACAGAATTAGACTCCTTTATCATTTCACTAGCTTGGTCTAATCCAGCTTCAGCACAAGTTCCAACAATTTCCATAGGTTTCCTTCCTGCTGTAGATGCTGTGCCTTATCCACCCAAAAATGACATTTGGAAAAGATCTGATCATGGCCTAAATGTGAACGTATTAAATGAGCATATTGGTCAAAACAACAGTTCCAAGTCCATTAAAAGAATCCCAAAATAAATAGTTCATTCGCTGTAAATTCCCATGTAGTTTGTTTGGTAAGACAGACTGCATTATTCTTCAGCTCATTAAAGTTTACTTTAACAAGCTGTGAAGCTGATACAGAAATGGTTCAACAGTTCAGTATTACATTGTGTTGTGGTGTGTTCTTTCTTTTTTTTTTAAAAAAAAAAACAACCCAAAACTTCAGCATCCCACTTGGCATAAAAGTCACACATTTCAAACAGATTTTCAGATATGCCTTTGAGAAAACCTTGTTTTTCAGCCATTTTTAAACAATTTTTCTTCTGTTCCCTAAACTACATTAACATTTTTCCCTAGCAAAACAAAGATGTTCTTTGTTTAAATAACATCACCCCTCTTGCTTCTTATGAAACAGCACATTTCCCATTTCCTCAAAGTCAGGTGCTGGGTGAGATACTTCAGTGAAGCCATTCGACATTTTATAAAATATTAACTTACATTGTTGGGTTTATGAGTAAATCGCATTGCTGTTACTACTTTTCCTAATAGTTTTTAAAGTTCAATTGACAGATTTAGCGTACTGGGAACTGTTTACATACAGAATGGCTAGAACTCAGGCAAAACTATGCAAGTTCTCTTACGGTATAAGACCACCACTCCAATCTGAAGGAATCAACCCTCTCAATGCCAGTAAGTTAATCTCCATGCTGATGTGCGAGTGCCAGTCCATTGTACCTGTGACCAGCAGGAATTGAATTGTTAGTATGTTTCCACCGTTCAGTGAAGTGCCAGGTGGAAGTGCTTGCGCTATGGGTAAAGGAGCTACCAAAAAGCAGGGTAAAAATAAAGAAGGGCTCTCCTAGCACATACATACTGCTTGCAATCCTCGAGTTGGTTGGGTACATCTATACAGCTCCACATCAGGCAACCCAGACATATTGTGATTTCTTTGCTGTCCTTGGCATTTAGGGAGTTCATTTGCCAAATCCTAATTCTAGAAAACCCACCAGACATTTATCCAGTTGTTGTAACTCTTCATTATTTACGAGCAAAATTCTGTCAGGGAGCCAGTCCAGTCATGCAATCTCCTGCAACATCTTATTTCTAGAAGTTTCCAAAGTAGATGCACTAGTCTTATTTCACACAGAAAAGGGGACAAACTAGTGGTATTTCCTTACCACGCACACACTATGCATGACAGGATAGCTCCATCCAGAGGAACCAATCAAGGCACCCACAATTGCAAGACTGTTGTCAAGAAGAAATCCTTTTGCACACAAAGCTCAGCCGGAGTAACTGTTTAGTATTTTAATAACAGGCATCTCTGCTCCACCTACAGTTGTCTGTCCTTGCAATTTAGTAAACACCAAAGAAGGGAAAGAAAAATTAGTAATTCATATTTCAAGAAATGATATCACACCTAAAATAGTAAATAAGTGAAAAAAAAAAGCAAATAAAAGTTTATTCAAGCACCCAGTTAGCAGAAGATCATTACCTATCATCATTATTAGGTTTGGTCATGTAAACAGATATGCCTGTGGAATTTTTGCTGAAATACAGGCATAATAGGAGCTGAAATCATTTGTTATTTTGCAGAACAAGAACCTTACTCTCTTATTTCTTTCGAAAACTAGTCCACAGTTAGAGTAATGGCTAGGATTACATATACATCTGACTAGATAAACATCCACAGCTTATTTTACAGCACTGCTGCTGGCTAAAAAGTTTTGGATCTCTGCAGTGTGGTTTGTGGGATCCTGCAGGGACTTGCAGACTTGTTACAGAATTTCTATAGGGCTAGATAAACATTCTGCAGAGTGCTTTGTTGATTTCTCATAATTCATGTCAATTTTTTCAGCTAACATCCAAGACTGCATTGTGGCTAGCATTCAGCAAGTGCTGAATGTGCGTGCAATAATTACATTTATCTGCAATGAAGAGGTTCAAGAACTGCTCTCTTGATACTATTACCATAATTGAGGGGAGTTCTGTAACACCAAGACTGCACACTAATCCAGGGCTGTAGCTTGGATCCAACATAAAAACTATCATACTAGCCATGGATGCTGTCAGCAAGCCAGCATTCAACTAGTGGTGCCCAAGTAGAAATGGTGCCAAGTTTGGCAAACCTGAAAGCAAGCAAGCTCTAACACTGTGTTGACTTTAGTATTCAAATATTTTTAATTAGTACTAAAGCACTGGAAATTAAGACAGGATACAGATACAGAATAAAAATACCAAAGACACCGATCTCCTCGGAAATTGGTTTAGCTGAAAGAAAGATCCACCTATTGCAGATACAAGACAAAAAGACTTAGGATTTTTTTTTTTTTTTAAGGAATTCTCAGAAATGGAAGTGCTCCAGCTCCCGTCATACTCAGAGAGTCATATTATTTCAGCCTTGTTAATTACGGGAAAACAAAAGCAGTTTGATATATGATTGCTTTGTAGTAGCAAATAGGACACAGTAATTATTCAGAACACAAAGCTTCAATAGCTGTAGGAAGTAATTATTACATGGGGACCTAAAACATCTCTTACTACAATTCCTTTAGCCACTAGTTGTTCACATCAGACCCTTAGGAGTAAGGCTCTATGGAATCGAAGTCAGACTCTTAAATAAACACTCTGTAGCAAATCCAGCAAAGGAAATCATTGAGACCAACATCAACGTCTCTCCTAATCAAAACAAAAGCCAAGTCACTAACATCCTCTTCCTTGCATTCCAGACCTACTGAATTTGTTAAGCTAAGTTGTATAAGGCTACTTCCCTCCCCTCGCAAAGGAGCTAAGAGAATTAGCCCCCAACTCCTCCTAGCATTTAACTGTATTTTGAGGAAAACAGAAAAGGGCCTCTACTGAACTTCATCCTAAATTTCATGGCAGACTAAAGTAAAGAGTACCAGCAGTTTTCAATAAGCCACTGAAGAAGCACTGAAAGCTACACCCCAATATAGTGCCCAGATATGCCACAACTTTGAGAACCTTGGCAGAAGGGTGAACATCAAGGTGTGGATATTCAATCACGTACTCAGCAATACATGTGAGAGTTGCTGCTGCCAAACCAACCAGACTGAAATGCAGCTACAAGCTGAGGAAGGCCAGAGATTTCAATTCCTTTTGCAATGGCAAGACCTGCAAAATTAAATTATTTAGATCCAAAATAAAATATTACATTGTGTTTCATACTCAAAGCATAAACAGATCATTGAGCAAGAAAGGATTGTTTACTTTTTAATGTTGTTTTCCTTTTTGTACAATGAAATAGAAATACAATAGTTATAGGAAATTTTAACCTAATTTAAGTCTTTTCCAAAAATACATTGCTAGAACATTTTGGGACGACAGCTTGTAAGAAACAGAGCCAGAACAGCTCTTTTGAAGCCACTGTTCCTTATGTATAGGAGAGAGTTGTGTGAGTGCACCCACCAGAGTTCCCAAACACACTTTGCCTACAGAGAATCAAGGCAGGCCAATTGCCTCTGGACACATTAGAAGACTGCCACAATCTAAGTGACAAACTGACAAAGTAGTAGTACCTTCCCCTCTTCTCTCTTACCAAGTTTCAATCTCAGCCTTTAAGAATTTGTATTGGCCTCCATAGTATCCGATAAAGATTCCTCAGAGAATCAGCATTAAAACTAAATTAAATTTTTCAAATATTTATTTTCCCACAAATTAATAAATTCTAATTCAGATCAACTGAGGCAGTTGGTAGATTCATAACGAGAAAATTGTTTCAGTTGAGAAAATAAATGGAAAGTTCCAAAGACAGCTAATGATTTCAGTGCTTTTTGAAACATCATTGTTTTCATTTCAGAACAACGTTCTACTTCAACAACACTTAAACTTTTTATCAGCAATTAAGATCTTTCACCCTAATTTATACTCCCTGCCTTAGTTAAGAGTGTGACCGTTACGAATTCATGCTTTCATAACGTATTTTCCTATCCTCTCGAAGAATAGTAAATTAATTAACTGGAATGCTCTGAATCAAGCACATATACCGTATAAGAAGCGTACATACCCATTGTGCCGCCCTGAGCAATGGCTATAGACATCTGTGCAAGCACTTCTGGTGAGGATTTCGGTGCTCCTACTGCTGCTTCCCCTAATTCTCTGACACCCCAATCATACCAAGGGCATTCCCAAATCCAGAAGTGTTCTGACTAGACAACCCTGCCAGCACTACTGCACAGCACACTCAACTGAGCTAAAACACATCATCTGGGGAAAAAAAGAAAAAAATTAACATGTAACATTGCTGTACTTCAAGCTTTACTCTTTGTAAAGGAATATAGAGACACTGAAAAGCTTTTAAAATCTCCAGATTTAAAGATTATCTTTAAAGATAAGAAAGAGTTCTTCTTTGTTTATTAATGCATGTGATTATCCATTTCTGATTTTAAGACTTCTGCAAATTCCTCCCTTCACATTTGCTGATTTAGGTATTTCTTTATGACACCAATCCATCACACAACCATGAAACTAGTTAGCATCCCAGCAACTCAGTTCCAAGATCCATTGACATATATTTGAGTACATGTTTTCAATTATCATCAACACTGATGTACTGTTTTCTAATATTAGTCTACAATGCTTCAATTACTGCCTTATTCTTTATTGTTTTCAGGGTTATTTCTTAATACTCTGTCCCAAGAGAAAAACACTTATTGCATTTGTTCAAGCTGAAAGATATTACACCTTTACTAGGTTTGCCCTGCACTGGACAAATTTACAACTGTTTTAGCCATTACATTCTTTATGGGCAAAACCAGTGCATTTTATCAAACTAAATATGAAGTTCTGATTCTCTCATGTTTTGATTTTAGATGGTTTGATATAGAAAGTGCTCTGAAATTCCAACGTGACCTCATTTAGTAAACATGTGGTATTCCTTCTGATATTTAAAGAACACGGTGACTAATTTTTAAATAAAAAATTGTCTTTTAACCTGCATCACTGAATGAGTTGAAAATATGATCCAAAATACCACAGTGAGAAAAAAACATGACACTCAAATCATAATTAACAGACAAATATTCAACAACATTCTTAGAACGTTTGGAAAGGCCAAAGATTGTGTGTTTGGGGGAATATGATAGGGGAACTATCATATAAGGATATTAACAATGCTGAGATGGAGCTAGTTTATACATACCGTATGCTGAGGAGACTGGGGTTTAAACAGAATAGCTGTATGACTGTATTGATGTGGCTTGTTCTATGGCCTGTGGAAAAGATGCAACATAACAAGAAGGAAGCAGCAACATAACAAACTTCCCAGAACACATCTCAAGTGCTCAAGCACTCATTTGTAAGACAACCGGGAAAAAATATTAGCTTCAGTGATTTTACACCTTATCTTTAAGAAGCAACAATGCAGCATATAATTTGATCTAGTGTTTATCTAATTATTAACCTGGTCCTCACAATTAATCAGGTCAAAATCCAAGTATAAGAGTTACAGTTGTCTCCTTTATTTGTATGCAGAATATAAACTGAAAAGATCTGCTACTGCTTCCAGTTCAGTCTGAGCTCTCAGCCATTGAGGCATTTGTTACTTTTAAGATTTTATTGATCCATTCCTTCTGTGTATTATAGCAGAGGAAAATGTTTTACTTTATCCTTTTAATACAGATACGAGCTATTCTGGTATAGTAATGCAATATCATTTCAAAGAATGGTGTTCCAATGTAAAACTAACTGTGAAACAACCATTTGGAAAATAAGCTTTGTTATGTGTATTGACTGCTATGTAACCCGATAAGTTCCAGGACATCCATCAGATTTCTCTCCAGTGATGGTATTGTTTTTTTTTTAAAAAAAAAACAAAAAAAACCCCTCCAAAACAACAACAACAACAAAAAAAACCTAAAAAAAAAATCCCACCCCAAGAAACCCCAAACCTTTAAAGAATTAATGAAATCTGACACCTCATTTTTTCCAGATTTAGCGCTGAACACTGTTCTAGGATGCAGGAAGCCTTAAGGGCAGGTAAGAGAACCAGTTCAGGTCTCATTACTATCAGATTGTTTTCTTCCCAAAATACTTCCTTTCTCCGTCTTTAGTAAAGATAATTGCCAAGTAGATTCTACCTCTAATAAGAAATAGCTCAGTTTTAATAAGTTTTGAACAACATATGCATCTGGAGATGGATTAAAAAAAATAGCAAATAAAAGCAAATGTAGTCTCCCTCCTGATGTACTTACACTGTAAACTACACACAGATTGGTACTTCTGCAAACAAATTAAGTTCTTTGATGAATGTATCGCTGCTTTGTAACTGACAATATTATGGAACTGGAAATGCAAAGCCGTATTCTTTTGAATGAAACACAGCACAGTTAAAGGAATATGCTCAAATAAGGACAGTAGAAAACAAAAAGGCTATAAAATTGTTTCCCTGGCCCTAGGGATAACAGATTCCATGATCTAATGAAGAGGGATGGCAAATATTTGCCCATATAAGTGAATAGTTTTCTTGGAGGGCCTGATTCTGCACATACCCCTCGTTCCTTGCTGCTTGTAGCATTAATATTTGAGGCAGAATCAGGCTCTTTGCTTGCTCATATGACTAGCTTTCTTAGCCAAGACCACCCTCCTAGTTTTGGATTACTTAACTATTGAACAGAAGAAAACATAACATTGAATAACCTGTTCAGTGTTATGTCCAATGGCATAGAGAGGTACCATATCCTCCTTTAGGGAGGAGGCAGAGAGAATCATATTCTGGAGTAGATCATTTGAACATACCCAGTATTTTGTGCAATTAAGAAACTACCTGTTCAGAAATATAAATTTTGCTTGTAAGAATTAGCAAGTAAAAACTCCCATGCATACACTTTCTTTCTCTGCACGCCCCTTTATGTTAAAATTGGTGTAACTGTCATTTTATATTCTGCAGCTTATTCTCGTTGCAAATTCAGTTCCCATATGGTGTCAGAATTCACCTTCTTTTCCTTTTAGTAAAAGAATTTTCAATTTATTAACTATTTTTGCTCCTTTTAAGTGGATTCCTTACTTTCTCTCAGTCAGGCCTTCCTTACCCATCTTATTTCCTAAACTTCTAGCATGGCTATGGTACTATATACAGTATGTTTGTTTAGTTTTTTCATTTTCTGCTTAGGAGGAACTTTTTGTTGACTGTTTATACCATTTCTAAAAAATAATTTTATCAAATTCTACCTTTGTTTTTCCTTGAGTTACAGAATGTGATTCTAGATTATGTTATCTAATTTATCTGCTTTTCCAGTCTTGAGTTTTAAAATCTACCCTGTAATCTTTTTAATAAGTACCAATAGCCTTTCATCATCCATTACATAGAACTGATCCTTCTGTTGTAAGCTCTATTTATTGCATATGTTTCCTAGTTCCTAAAAAAACCCAGAACTCTAAGCACATCTTTCTTTCCTCTTGATGATGACTTTGTCTCTATACATGGTTTTGGGGAGCATTTTAGAAAAATACTAGCATGAAGGTTCCTGCCTTTAATCACTGAAAAAATTGAACTGTGATTCTAGCATCTGTTTTCCACCTTTATCATGTCACTGGTTGACCAGGCATTACTACTCAGAACTCAGAAACTAGCTAGATAAGAGTTCTGCTATATCTGCACCCACAGACAAATTCATATGAGGTTCTAAACATCATGACAAACCCACTGATTGAAACAACTGATAAACATTGCCCCAGCGCAAGGTCCTGCACCTGGGTCAGGACAACCCCTGGTATCAATACAGGCTGGGGGATGAAGGGATTGAGAGTAGCCCTGCAGAGGAGGACTTGGGGGTACTGGTGGATGAAAAGTTGGACATGAGCCAGCAATGTGTGCTTGCAGCCCAAAAAGCCAACCATATCCTGGGCTGCACCAAAAGCAGCGTGGCCAGCAGGTCGAGGGAGGTGACTCTGCCCCTCTGCTCCATGCTGATGAGACCCCACCTGGAGTACTGTGTCCAGGTCTGGAGCCCTCAGCACAGGAAAGACATGGACCTGTTGGAGTGGGTCCAGAGGCGGGCCACAAAAATAATCAAAGGTCTGGAGCACCTCTCCTATGAGGACAGGCTGAGACAGCTGGGGTGGTTCAGTCTGGAGATGAGAAGTTGCTTTTGTAATCTGAAGTTTTCTGCACCTGAGTACTCAATCTCACAGACCAAAAGTCCATAATTATTTTTCACCTCTTTCACAGAACTGGTCAAGAGATTTCAGGAGCTGTCCTAGCAGTTTAACACTTTAAAAAAAAAATCAGGTTATTGATTTTGACACTCCATTAGTAACATTGAAACTTAACATTAGACATACTGAACATCAGAGATAGGTATGCTATATTGAAAAAAACAGCCAGTTATCCTAGAAAATGCTTTTTCAGAGAGAAGGTCTTTAATAGTGACAACTGACTTCTGCTACCAAAACAATTAGACTACTCACACAAAACTGTACATAAGCTGTTGTATTAAAAGAGTAGGTCCTTCTGTTTTAAGTTCTATTAAAAATTAAATTGGAATTAAAATTCTTCTAAAGCCAAACCGAGGTCCACTTGCATTCAGCTTTATTTAAAATAGAATCCAATTTTTAAATAATTTTTCCATCATAAATGGAAAATTAAAGCTGAAAACATGAGAAAGCCTTCTCTGCAAAATGCTCTACTCTGAGAAGTTGTCAGTTGACTCAGTAAGGATGCTGCTCAGATTGTAAATTCCCATGTGCAGCTTTGTACTGCTATATCAGCAAAAATTCATGTAGTATCTCAATTAGGCCAAGTAACCTAGCTACTTGAGTATCAATGGTCTTTGGAAAATTTAACCTAGTGGTTTCATCAACTGAGGAAATATTCTCCTTTTTTGGGGACATCTTCCTTTTTGGACAAGACCAAGCAGAAAGAAGCTGGTCCTGTGCAGATGAAAAAGCAAAGGATATAGACACACATACCTAAGGTGACATCAAAGTTTTCTCATCACGTCTTCTCACTATTCCCATTAATTCTGTTAAATATTTTCTTTTATGGTCATCTTGTTGCTCACAGAAATATGTATGTTTACTGTAGAGACAATAGGTAAAACATAAAGCCAATGCTTATAGTGGCATTCCTATACTTACAAGCAACACTTATTATACAATCCTTCGGTTGCCAGTAAGATTTCTCTGTGTGAATATGCATCATGGATCTAAGTAAAGATGAAAACAGCATTGTTTAGTGCCTGGAGTAAAAGTTTTGAGGCCGGAACTCATAAATTCTAATCTCATTTGTAATTCACTTTGGGTAAAGTCATTAACCTTGTTTTGGCTTCCTATAGGTCCCTCCTAATGAAATTGAACTCAAATTTGTCATAACGAAGCATATAAGAGAAGAAAGCAGCAGACGGTACACTCAGCAATAACAAATACAATTTCTGGTATGAGAGGCAAATGGAGGCCAGGTGTGACTCCCTGGGTAGTGTGATAACCACTATCCCAAGCAAGAACAAATCTGGTCACCATTTGAGTAAAACAAGGATTAGGAGAAACAAGCATCAGTCCTAAAATACCTGCCAGACCTATAAAGAAAAAAGTATGCAGTCAGAAGAATAAAAAAAGCATTTTTCTTTATTAACCATAAAATAAAAACAGGCGTAGAACCCAAACCCTACTTCCACTGAAGTTGTGTCACCGACACCCATGGTGGCGGAAGGCATTTCCTGCACATGCATAACTTGTATACATTGTTTTTGCCAGAAAACTAATTATGGAATAATAGAATCTTTGTCAACCTGAGGACAAAGTGGGGACCGCAGGATCCAGCAGATGCATATGGGACTGCCAAACTAAATTTCTTAAATAAAAAATATTCCACTTGGGCAAATATGGAGAAATAGTTCATCAAAAACCCCCAAATTAAATATGTCATAAATTCCCCAGTGACTTCTCACAACCTTTACTGCTTTAGTAGGAATACAGACCACAGTGTAGCATCTGAATATTGTTAAAAGATGCAGACCACACAAAGAGTTCAACAATACTTCCTTGGGAGAAAATATTATTGCTCCCAGTACTAGTCTCTTTGACCATATGTGTTGGTGGTTTAGGGAAATGTTTTTCCCTCTTTAGGAAAAGACTAGATCATTTCGTTAATCTAAGATAATACGATATTTTACTTGGAGACATATTTTGTCATCACTTGCACAATGTTTTGTTATATATACCCAAGTAAGCCCTGAGGAAATCAATGTACAGTATGAATTTCTCCAATCAAGACAAAGCCCAATGTAGAAAGATATCACAGTCTCACTCTTGGAGATCACAGGAGTTTCATTTTCAGTTGGGTTATCATTTTAGGAAATTTTTAATAAAAACTTTAAAACTTGTATACAAATTGCCCATCATTAATCACAGAAAATAGGTCTTCAAACAACAATGATACTTTGGACAAAACATTTTAAGTCAGTGACCCTGGGAGGACGCAGTAAGGAACATCTTTCAGATGCTATACAAAGCTTTGTTATGGAACGGTTCGCTAAGTGAAACAGACTTCCTTCTCTTTTTTCTTCCTTGAAAATCAACTTTCTGTACCACCAAAAATTGCTTTCCTTGAACTAACAGATATTTCTACTGTTACTCATTTACCTTGAACAGGAGCTTTCAAGGCACTGAACTCTTTAAAAGCTATGCTATATGTATCCTTTTCTGTTATCATTTGCATTATTCTTTTTTCATTCTATCATTATTTTTAAAGGCAGTTAATGCAAAGAGCATAACAATCTTGTTTATGAGGAAAATATTATTCAACATAATCAAAACCTTGCTATATGATCCATTTTCCATTTCATACATATATTTCAACACAAATAATGACATCTGGAGTTATGCAGTATATACAGGCCCTGATCCAAAAGCTTTTGAGAACAGCCTACATTAATTTCAATTGGCCCTGGATTGGGTCCCTAACCTATACCATATTGGCTCTTTATTTCATACATAATTAATATCAGAAGTTTCTTGGTAACAAAAGGTATACAATGATTCACCAAGGATACTGAAAAGTTAATTTTTAGCCTTTGATTCAATTGGAAAGCAACAGGATATGTTAGCAACCCTGACTTACCACTGCCTGCTGCTTTTCAATGTTAATTCACACTACCTTTCAGGAGCTCATTTTATTTTTACGTAGTTATTCCTAGTATGTCTTATCATTTACATGCCAAACCAGCAACGAGAAATGCAGGTAAATTAATTCCCTCATATCTTTTAGATAAATTCCAGTTGTGGTCATCATTTTCCTAGCTTGGAAGAATATGGCTTTTCCTGTTCTTGTGCTGCTGTGGGGTTTTTTTGTTTGGTTGTTTTTTTGTTGTTTTGTTGTTTGGTTGTTTGTTTTTTTTAATAGAAATGGGTGCTGTTTTGGGGAAAGTTTACTGAAATAACACTTTACATCTTCCTGTTGCAGAACAAAACAATCATTATTATGAATTCATAGAATCCTAAGATAGCTTGGGTTGGAAGGGACCTTTAAAGGTCATCTAGTCCAACCCCCCTGCAACAAGCAGGGACATCTTCAACTAGATCAGGTTGCTCAGAGCCCTGTTCAACCTGGAATGTTTCCAGGGATGGGGCATCTACCACCTCCCTGGGCAACCTGTGCCACTGTTTCACCCCCCCTCATTGTAAAAGATTTCTTTCCTATTGTATCTTGCCTTTCATTACATTATGGACTGACCATTCAGGCAAAGTTCTGACATGGTTACTCATTTGTCCTTCTGATATTTGTGGGATTACTCACATGAGTAAATAGAATGGGATTTTGCCTTTACCTTATACTGATTACGATAATCCTTGGCCTGTAAAATAGTGCCAGCCGTTGAACTCAGTCAGTTGTAAAAACCACCTTTGTGTTCTTACAGCACCAAATTTGGTCTGATATATTTCAGATGTAATACACTGGAGGGGAAAAAATAACGAATAAAAAACTCAAAATGCACACAGACAAAAAAAAAGCCCAGAAAACAAACATTAAACAAGAAAACCTACCTAAATCCTAGACTACATTCTTTAAAAGCTGAACATGAATATGCTTCTCTTTGCAAACACTTTCTTAGCAAAACAGTAATTCCAGCCTGCCAATATTTAAATGTTTAGCTTGACTGTACTTTGGTTTAATGCTACCTGCAGGCAAATATGGATTTCTGTCAATCTTCCACTCACCATGACTACAGAAATTAAGCCTTCCTCTTTACTACATCCAAAATAAACTTAACTGAAAAAGAACCAGTCTATCTCAAGAAACATCTTGCATACAGAAAATTGCAGCCAACATATAAGTAATATCAGTTTTCACAGATCTTAAGGCTGCCTCCTGATTTAACTGTATATCTAGTTCTGTTTTTCCTCCCAGAATAAGGGGCCAAAGGATGTAGGAAATTATGAGGGCTACTGCTATTACAACAGAGACTACGCAGGACATAGCCTAATGATGTCATATCAGGGTTGAAATAAGTTTCATACTCTGAGGCTAAACCACTGCTTGTTTCAATAGAAAATCACTGTATCTTTCTAAGCAACAATGCTCTACCTCTCCCGACCTTGGCACAAAGACGTAGTGTCATCAAACCATTTGGCCTTCGAAGTATTCGCACTACTTGAAGTCCTTTTGAGTATCACACACAGCTCACCTATTCCTACTTGTCAGCAACTTTGTTCAATACATACTGATTTGAGTCCATCAACTATCTAGCACTTGAAGTCATATTGCTTAAGGCACAGTTCAGTAGCTCAGGAGACCGGCCGATTCTCAGTAACACATTCTTTAAAAACACAAGTTTATAGTACAACAGTAATTATACAGTATCAAAGTTTTTATAAATCTCTTTCCGCCCCATATTTTAGTGTTTGAAGCATGCAAGAAATTCCCTTCACCACTTTATCATGTAGACATTGAATGATAATGTTTCCTTGGAATGACTAAACTCACTAACAAAATCACTGTTTTCACACAACACATTTTACATGGTTTTATCAAAAAAAATGTTTAAGTGGTGTTGAAACTCACCTTCATTACCAAAATTCCTCTAATGACACGATCAATAGCCCCATAATCTAAATTGTCCTGTTGTTCAAAGTAAAAATATTCTTTCTCAGGAGAAACAGCTTTAATAATTTCAAGATGTTATGGAATAAAGGCTACTGGCTTGAGTAGCCATTCTACTTGGCAAGTTCTTGTAACCAGTGTTCACCACACCCTGATGAGAAAGAAAAATAAATAGTTGTCAAAGCTTTCATGTATTGGAAACTTTTCACATGTTCTCCACAGATCTGATGCCTGTTTTATACATGCTAGTAAATCAAATTTGCATATTACTGCAGACATGAGTTGCTAAAGCTTTCTTTTACAAGTTAAGGATTCTCTTTAAAACCAATAGCTTACTCTGATGCATGACCAAAGAAAGTCTGCAATTTTGTCAGGAAGCCAGAGACTAAATGAGCTGGGAGGCCAGTCAGGGAACTAGTTACAAAACCATATGGTGCTTATTTTTGAGAATAAGAAATCAACTACTTCTTCAAATTCGAAAACACCTCATGATTGTCTGATAAGAATCACATTGCACAATGTGTTTCACAGATTAATTGCACTTCAGTCAATCCCAAGGAAGAAGATAGAGATGCATTTAAAACTTAAATTCTTTGCAAGTTCATCTGGATTAAGATCATGTTTCTTTAACATCCCTTCATATTATTATGAATGCAGAACATCAAAAAACCACAAAAGAATTCTAATGCCATACTTTGAAAACAACTTATATTGAATTCTGATCTTGAACACTGTACCCTAAATTATTGTTTCTTTCTTTCATTGCATCATTCCAGGATAGCCATCTGGACATTGCAGTTGCCAGTTCATCCCATATGCAGCCACACATGTTAGCTTCAATACACATCCTGGAGTAAGCCATGACATGACGGTCAAGTATGGCAGCCACAGAAGAAGTAAATACAAGGTAAAATTTAAATACTTTTAGCTGGACTGTTCTTTTCACCTAGCTTTCCAGACAGGCAAATGCATGTATCTAATGCCTGGAGGACAGTGAAGCCTGCAAGCATTCTGCCATTGCTTTATAGTCCACTTCCCAAGGTGGTTCCTGATGAGACACTTTTTCTCCTCAGGTAAATTCCCACATACTGAAATGACAACATTTTTAATTGCTTCAAATAATGGGTCTTTACAAAGGAAAACTACACAGTACTAGAAAGAGGGGGAAAATGCAGCATTATAGTTATTACTGACGAGTAAGAGGGAGCGAACAGCTGGTACATAGAGGATATTTCTCATGCACAATAGTATTTGAAGTGTTTTCACACTACACGACTCTCACGACTTGGGTAAGATTTTCACCATGTAAGCCAAGCATTTAAATTAATAGATTGAACAAACCTTTGAGCCCCACAGCATACATGCAGGTCTTCTGGGTACCTAAAGCCCACTGCTACACCAACACAAACATAGTGCAACACAGGACATGCAGTGTAGGTAGCACACTTGAGGAGGAGAGGCAACCAATATCCAAACTGTTGATCATGTGACATTAGATCAGCTCATGCACATACAACAGAGAAAATTACTTGGATATGGTTCAATAATAGGAGTATTTAAATTTGCAGGATCTACATAAAATCTAAGTATTTCAATTCA